ACCTGACATGACAAATTCTTTATGTAGCTTTGGGTATTAGGTGATTTTGAAGGCAATTTGATAATCGTGCATTTCATTTGTTTTATAAGCAGAGCAAGAGGTGCTTCTCACTTGTGTGAGACTTCCTTTTGGAAGAGCCAAAGGAAGAAAGCTTTCCCACAGATTTGTTTTGCCATAGTGGAATTGATTGTGAGACAGGAGTATCCTTTTTAGTGTATAAGGCGGTAGCAGGTTCATGGAGTAGAAATTAAAGGCCTAGTTTAACACAGTATGATGAACTCCTGCAAGGTGTTAACACGCTTTCTGTTAAAGTTATAGTAAATTCCATGAAATGTGAAAGCTGGGCACAATATAAAATGCTCAACTTTAGGACAGCAGAGCTGACAACCAAAATAAACTGCATCCCCCAGAGACTGTTCTTTGGAATAACTGTTAACAGGTACACTTTTGAAATGGCCTCAATCCAGCTTTCTCAATTTTTCCTGCAAGACTTTTAAACACAGTTCATTACACTTGAAAACTTGCTGGTGCATGCTGAGAGAGGATAACTTTCGAAAGCGCAGCCTGTCGTTTTTGGTATTGTCTGAAGTAACTGCTTTAAGAGGGTTGAAGGCTTAGCGCTCATCTTGAGCTCACAATTTCTCTTAAGGCAAACTTTATCTTTGTTCAGATCATCCCTTCTTTAGGAGCTGAGTAATCAGCTTGTGCTACTATCAAATAGGTTGCAAAGTAATGGGTAATGCACTTGCAGCTGGAGTACTTCAGTATGATACAAGCCATGGCTTCAAATGGCAAATATGCTGATCGTGACTTAAGTTCAAAGCTCTACAGTCAGCCCATCTCTTGCTGAGGGCATGACAGACGGAATAAATCAATGGTGTGGCTGGTTTGATAGCATGATGGAAATAGTGACGCCGCTGGAGTACGCTGGCATGGTGCCAAGTGCGCATCATCCTGCAGAGCTTTGGCCTCACAATGTAGACAAGGCATCTTGCACTGAACTAGAAACTAGGTCTGAACTGAACTAGGTCCTTGGCACCACGAGCACCCTGGCCCTAATGACAGTAGGTTCTGCAGTGGATTAGATGTAGTCAGGATGATGCTTCTCATTTTTGTAGACATCCCCATCCTGAACTTGTAAGATGTGTGAGTGAGATGCCCTTTGAGAGTGTGTCTCTTTGGGGCTGCCATTTGGGGTTTTGTTTGAAAGCAACAAAATGGCTGTTCATCATCCTCGGAGTCATGACTTCCAGCTGGGTTTCTGCACATGTACACAGCTGCTTGCTGTCTGCTGGCTTGTTCCTGCAAATGTGTGCAGACTTTCACGTTCAGGGTTGGGGAGCCAGGTGCTTCTGAGTTTGTTTTTTTTTTCTTTTGCTTCTATCTGAGTCTTTCCCTGTGCTTCCTCCCCTTCCTTTCTGTTGTGCTCTGCACATCCTTGACAACCATGCTGTGCTTATCACAGTTATATTTCTTTGCAACTGCATAGTGGTATACCTTGACTCCTCATTATAGGCCTAAAAACAGATAGATGCGGTAGAGAAACCTCCCCTCTCTCTGTGGTGGCAATAGTCCCCATAAGATTTCTTTCCTAGGTCACCCTCGGGTCATAGTACGTGTGTTCAAGGCTGGCAAGTTCTAGGACTTCAGAACATGCTTGCCTGGTCCTGCTACCACCTCATGATAAGATTTGAGGAAAACACAGCGGTGGGAAGTGGAATACAGCATATGCTCCTGGTTGGCAAATGGTAAAAGGGATGTGCCTCACTAAGGAACTTGCAGTATAATTCAGTTATTTGAGGGCCATAAACTGTCCAAGTCTGGGAAGGCATAATTTGCAGTCATCTTTAAAATCAATGAACCCTTCAGGTTACATCTGTGGATAAGGGAAGAAGGCAGTGCCTCTTTCCTGGAGCTGTACTGCTGTAACTGCAGAAGTGTTGCTGAGAAGAGCTGCTACGCTGAACTGCAGAGCAGTGTCACTCCGAGCAAATTTCTAGGCAGTTTCAGAATTGAACAAAATATTTGCTAGGGGTTAAGTTAAATGAAGCAAAGTGAGAAGGGCAGACTACATTTTCTACTTGTGACTGTGAGTGTAATTTGAAAGGCCAATGCGTGTGTATATATATATATCTATATATACACAACTACCTAATACCACCTTTGTGGAAACAAAGCCTATGAAAGGCATATTGAAGGCAATAGTGTCATGAAAGCAGTGTACGCTGCTATAAATACACTAGACAACTACAGCGTATAGTGAAGAACTTCAAAGGAGGCAGCTGGAACCAAGTATAATAGTATTCTACCAAAGAGAGCAGTAATCTCTGCCCTTTACTTTAAAATGAGGAATTTATTCATGGACAATATGTTGTAGGACCTCAACTGTTTATAGAACAGTACCAATATATGCTTTCTTCCACCATGGTGTCTTCTCTCCCAAAGCATTATGTAAACACAGATGAAAGTTAAGCCTTGCAACCTTTTTGCAGCAAATATTGCTACTTCTGTTTTTCAGGTAGGGAAGGTAAGACACAGGTCAGTTCAGGATTTTCCTGGGGCAGGGTGAGAACAGTGTTCAAATCACTTGGTCCTAGTGTTGCGTTCAAACATGGGAATCCCGTCCCTCAGTGTGATGTTACTCTTCTCTTGGACGCTCTTGCAAAAGCTCTGCTGCCCAGGGGTTATGGGTTGGGGAGGCTCTGGGTGCTTAGGAGGGCTAATTCCCCATGAGCATGTTGAACCCCCCTTGCTCTGCTTTGCGCTGAGTGAGCTGTGAAACTGGACAGGAGTGTGGGCCCCCTTCACACCGGATGACACTTGACTGAAGCAGATGAATAAACCACAACTTATCACTTATCAGAAGATTTAAGGGATTTGATGCTTCTGGAAAATAATATCTCCAGTGGGAATTTGTTATGATGTATGGCACTCCAAGGAATGTCTTTATGCTTCTATGGAGTCCAGTTCAAAGAATGGGAGGAATTAAGGAGCTTCAACTATAGGTGCTACACTGTCAGTTTATTGAGAGGTTTTGTTCATCGCATTCATGCCTTTGAATATAGGTTTGTGTAGTTAAAACCAACAGAACCTCCTAACGAGGTTTTTATCAGTCGGTTGATTAAAAATGCCCAATTGATAAACATGCTCATCATAAACCTTCTTAGCTCTGTGCTACCTTCTATGTTTCTGCTTCTCCTTCAGAAGAGAAAGCCGATCACCTGCTTCCTGTTAGCAAATGATTTTGGTCATTTTATGCAAATGGAGGGTGGTGCAAGCACCAAGAGTACGCACAACTTTCTGGCAAACTGCGTATAAAGTCAGGACAAAAAAAAATTACATTCTTCATCTTTTCTGTAGCTGCTTGTGGAATCAAACATTAATCAGTAATAAGGACATAAATGCTACGCATCTCCTTGTTCTAAGCATATTAAAGGCTCTGCTATGTGTTATGTACCTGTTAATAGTTTTGGCGTGTGCCCTATGAAGGGATTATCTTAGTGACTCCATGAGGAATATAATTTAGTCAGCAGAGGGATGACTATACGGGCACTGCACTTCATATGTGATACGTGTCCAGACTCTAGAATTCTCTGTGGAAGTCAATGGGCTGTTTGGAAATCCATATTTACCTTTTGGCCAAATAATGTCAAATGCTGTCATAGACATCCTATAATGGAAAGCCAGACTCAGATGTTGGGGCAGGCTTTTCATAGATGTCCGGGCCCTGGAGTTCATGGTGGGTAAAAAATAAGGAAATGCAGGCAGTCTGTTTACATGAAGGAGTTTTTTCCTCATTCAAAACGGTTAGATCTATATTTTGATTTCAAACCTACCATAACATTTGAAGAATTTCACTTTGTCCTGTACGATCAGCCCAATAAGCACCAAAAAAAACCCCACCATAAGATCCTACAGGTGCCTGTTATGCCTCCAGTGTCCATCAAAATTGTATCAAATGGGGAGACAAAGAAAGGGCTTCTTACTCTAGCAATGACTGTTTTTTTTTTTTTCAGTGCATCCTCAAGTGCTCAGCTGCCTGAGTCGTTTCAGACTAGACAGCTACATTCCCTCAAGGAAACAGTTTTACAGTCTCATTCTAGTAAAAAATCATCCAAGATCCATCAGATTTGCAGGCCCAGAAGATTGTCTTACAAATCCTTGTGTGCTATGGTACTTTTCCTACCTAAGGTAGATAGGATATTGTAAATTGCAGACCAAATCTCAAACCAGCTTTGGATGGGATGGAGGCAGTTTGTGTTAATTACAAATGTGACTGTAATATTTCACCCTTCTCTACCATGTATAAGTTTGGATTTAATATATACATTTTTTTGTTGAAACCAACTATCTTGAAGCAAGTAATGCAAGCAGTGGTGTAGCATTTTATCTCAGCAGCTTCCAAGTTTGTCTTCCAATAAACCACTGATGCTACAACAAAGTTTAGTTGTTATGCCCGCTAGATTTATCAAAGCTGCTTTTGACAGAGATTCTTCGGTACCAGATCTTCATCATTTGTCAGGCAGGACACAAAAAGTACCTTTTGGATGAATGTTGATACCCTCTTGGCAAGAGATGATAGACTGAAGTAGTAGCTGGGTGTGTGAAGATGCAAAAAGGAAGCTGGTGGAGTTGCAGAAATGATTTAGGTGATAATTAAATGAGTTAGATGTTTAGGAGCTTTTAGACAGCTTAGTTACATCCTCAGGTACCTAAATACATTTAACTCAATCTTGTTTAACCCCTGGTTCATGTCACTTCTGAGTGACAGTGTATTTGCTGATGGGGAAGTACTAGATATAGATTTTAATAAACATAAATGTTATTGTAAAATTAAGATAAGACATATTTTAATAACAAACTGTCACGGAAGTTCTAATGAAAACCGTGATTAGTGATTTACTTGGTTAACGGGGAAAACGTGCAGTGTCTGCTTTCCAGCAGCCCTATCATAATGAGAACAGCTGTAGAATTATACTTGTGTCCCTTTCTTTCAAAAGGGGAGAGTTACGTCTGCTCATCTGACAACTTCTTCAAGAAGGTGGAATACACCAAGAATGTCAACCCCAACTGGTCTGTCAACGTGAAGACATCTGCCAACCAGAAAGCACCTCAGTCTCTGGCCAGCAGCAACAGTGCTCAGGCAAAGGAGAACAAAGATTTTGTGCGCCCCAAGCTGGTAACCATCATCCGTAGCGGGGTGAAGCCCCGAAAGGCAGTCCGTGTGCTCTTGAACAAGAAGACTGCCCATTCGTTTGAGCAAGTTCTCACTGACATCACTGAAGCTATAAAGCTGGAGACTGGAGTGGTCAAAAAGCTGTATACTCTGGATGGGAAACAGGTAGGAGGTTTTACGGATCTTGTCTTTTTCCCTTACTTTCTCTTATTTTGAGGCTTTGCTGACTCAGAACAATTTTTGCAGCCTAAAATTAACCTGAGATTATCACTGCCATCTGTTCTTTCAGAAGTCAGTCTTCTCATACCAGTGGTTAAGTTACTAAATTTTCGTTGATATTAATATCAAGCAAAGAATGCAGCCAACCGTCTGAGTGAAACAGATGCTCTGTCCTGCACACCAGTGTGCAGTGTGTGTCTTCCAGACTAACTAAATAAATAACATGAGGAGTTCGGCTCACAGCCACCAGTTGATTTGGCTCTTAAGTAATTGCAGGAGCTCTTGAGCTATGGATTCACTAAGTGGAAATGTTTTGCTGGACTTTTCCTACCCTCACATGAGAGCTCGTTAAGATAATGATCCATGTATGTTCTTCTGGCCAGCTCAGTACTTAGCAGGAAAAGTATGGAGCTGGTGCATTCTCTTAACTAAAAGTGTGGAGCGAAAACATGTAAAAAGGGATTTGGGTCAAAAAAATTTAGTGGGTCATTATAACGTGCTTCATGTCTACGTGTTCCTAGAACTGGAGGCAACATCTGTCTCCTGTTAGCAGCAGCACAGCAAAAAGCCATTTAATATTACTGTACCTGTGAAAAGCCTTAAGGGAATGTATAAGGTGCATTTTGGGGACCAGGAAGAGCTAGATTCCTCAAGGAAAACCCTGAGCTTAATGTAACAGTTGTCAGTGTCTTCTGTAACAGAGAGGAGGATCTTATTTTGCTGTTTTTCTTGTTTCATATTCTGGAGTGAGGCAGCATAGCTCTTGTGTGGGTTGGACACTGGCTATTCTAGGAATTGATACTATAAAGTGACTTCCTCTCCTGTCTCTAGAGTGAATCATTCAAATGCTGGCTCTTGAAATACCATGCCAATACTAGGCAGTGTGTCTAACCACCATGCAGACTTCACAAATGAAGATGTTCATCCTTCCAATACCAAATATTGGCTCATAAAGCATACTAGTTCAGGTGCAGTGTCTGGGAGCTGAATATAGCATATCACTCTAACCTGTCTGATATTCTTGCTTTGTCTCAACATTAGTATCCAACGCATTAGTGGCCTATTGTAGCTTCAGAAATACAGAAATCTCATCTGCCTGTCAGAGCTTTTCTTTCCACTGGTCTCGACCCAGCGCTTTTTCTTCATAATCCATATAATTTATACATGGGTGGGTGACTTTCCTGCTGGGCTGTCCATAGATATGGTAGCATGTTGTAAATAAGCAGTGATACAGAGTGATGTAGTGGGAGCATTGGAAGTGAAGTGGTGGGGGGAAGGAACAGGAGAGGTGAAGGAACAGGAAGGGGAGAGTCAAACGATCCCTCAGCAGCAGCCCAGCGAGAAATTGTACGTGAGCACAGGATCATGCATGTCAAATCCCAGCTGCTTTAGAAAGGGCTTAATACATGGGTCTGACCTGAAAGCAATTGCCAATTCATGCTAGCACACAGAGTCTTGTTGCGCTTACAGTTCTGGATCAGTTCCAGAACTGTTTCATTCTGTAAAATGCCTCAGTTCTTTGCAAAGAGCCAGCATTTCAGAGATGGAGGTTTGCTGCTTTGGACAGCATGCAGAAATGGTGATGCCCTGTGAGTTTTTGTGGAACTGTTGTTTCTTGTCCACCTTCAAACCAATTATACGAGTAAGCGGTGCTTTCCCCTCTGCCTCTGACATGTGAGCAAGACCGGATCAGCCCATGGACTGAACTGAACTTGTGGTTGGACCAGCCTGTGAAGCTGTATGTTGTTTCCTTAGCAGAGATTTGGGAAATACTGCTTGCTTTCAACCTATAGCTTGCCTAGAGAAGTCCTGCTGTGGGGCAGAGTGCGTTTTGGCATTTGTTGCCTTGCCTGGAGCTACCGCTGTTCAAAGGGCACAAAGATCAATGTAATTTAACGGTTCCTGCTGCAAACTGTTGTCCATAGTAGCCGCAATACGTGACTCTTCATGAATCCAAAAATAAACAGCAACCTTGAATTCCTTGCATCAGGCTCTGGTATCCGTGCAGTGACTGGTGCCTTAATTTGACGTGGCTCTCATTGTGGCAACATCATGGCCTCACCCTTGGTTTTTGCTGCAGAAATCTGATGTCACTGAAAGCCTGAGTAAAAGTTTTACATTTAGCTTGTTTTATTGCCTTTATAATTCACCATTTTCTGAAATGTGGCATTTCCTAGTGTGTTACAGAGATGTGAATGTTTCCTACCCCAGCTGTTTCACTGTATGCAAGTGTACATGCAGTGGTGCAGTTAATGAAGAGTGAGATTACTTGCGATTTGATGTTAATTGAATGTTTGATATTTGTTTGTGGCGTCATTTAGTGTTGAAGCTTCCTGAACAGCAAATCTGACCCACCAAGGCTTTATTTTGATTGGAAGGTTTCCTTCAATGTTTGTATTTTAATCTGAGTTTATCTGATAGGTCTCCAACCTATGTGTGTTCTCAGCATTGCAAGCCAGAGCCAAAAGTTTCTGCTGTGGGTGTGGTGTTTGCTTTTAGGTTTTCCGCTACGTACTGCTCCGTAAAGTCTCACCTTATGACATGATGTTAGAAAGAGGTTTTTGCGTGTCTGATTCCAACATTAGAAAGAGGTTCTTAATGTCTAATTCTGACAAACTGCTTTATTTTCAGGGGAAAATATTCATGTAAATACGCAAGCTGCTCAAGGGTGAAATAGTGACAAGAATCTTGGCAGTTTGTCTTTTGACTGTCTTCAGAGCTGCATTACTCCCTCTGTGAAGTGGTAAAATTCACAAAGGAACGTGCAAAGGAAAATCTTCCTTCCCCAGTCCATGCATTGCAACATAATGAGGGGAGGTGATTATTTTGTTTATAGGCATTTTCATGGTGCTCATCAGCGGAGTAATCAAGATGCTTTACAAGTACAGACAGTAGTGGCAATGACAGTGGTGTGTAAATAATTACATTTCTGTGCACTGCAGACCTGCATTTGAAATGAGAAAGCAGTTAATTGAGTGCTAGATGAGGCATGTTTGATAAACTTAACGCTTAAAACAACAGTGGGGTTAGGTCATCTTTCTAGGAATTTTTGTTTCTTCTTCTTGGGTTGTCTGTAGAAATATTATACTTTTGAAACTGCTAAATAAGCATCTTTTGTTAAGTAGTTCGTGTAACTTGATCTTGCACATATTTCTAATGCCTTGTGCCTTATCTGTCTGTATTCAAGCTGCTTCTCTCCTGGGAGCCTATCGCCGTATTTTGACAGAAACCCCAGAACTCAAAAGAGGCTTTAAAGAGTTGACCAAAGTCATGTCAGAGAATCGCAGCATCAGAGGTTTACCTTTTTGTACTCTCATAGCCATATAGGAAATGGTAAAGGCCAAAGAGCTCAGTGCATTAAACAAAAGCTTGCCATAAGGGAAAAGTCGGCACTGGATTTCATGACTAGGGCTCCTGTTGTGTTGACATATGTAGGAGTAAATTCGGTCTGATTGGTGGATCGTGTTGGAACTCGACTGCATGGGCAAATTCTTTCTCTTCAAACTCTTATAGTAATTTCTAGGGTCCTGGCTGGTTTTCTTGGAGCACTGACTAGTTTATAAATACATGATGACAGTTTTGGCCTCACATGGTTAATAAACCAAATCGGAAAACAGAACTTGAGACTGTAGATGAAGCTGCATTCAAATAGTTTGAACGCAATGGGCTGAACTAGACCTGGCAAATGTCGCATAGAGGAACTCCCCCATTTGTGCTTGAGCTTTCTCACTGTGTTATGCAGTAACTAGGTGCTTCTCTGGAAGAGAGGTGGCTATTTGGTCCCTGCCAGCTATGTGAGCAAAGTGCACGTCTTTGCTTTCTGCGCCTTGCTTTGCAGGCAGTATTTGTCTGCATTCATTCCTG